TCATGGTTTGTCTCCTCATTTCATAGGCAGTTAAATTTCCAATTAGTTCATCCAGTCTGAGGGTAGCAATGTTCTTGGATTCCTGAATGGCAGTGATTTTGCTTTCTCATGTGACTGGCAGAACTCCTGTCAGAATCTTCTCAACCTTGTCTTCTTCAAGGATAATCCTTCCAGAAGATTCAAGTTCATTTGTCAAAGTGGTGAATCTAGTATACATCTCCTGGATAGTTTCTCCTTCCTTCATAGTAAAATTCTCATATTGAGAATACAGAAGTGTTCCTCTTGATCTTTTCACTTGAGGTGTTCCTTCATGAGCCACTTGCAGAGTGTCCCATATTTCCTTAGCAGTTGTACAGCTTTGGATCCTACTGTACTCGTCTGGTCCTAGACCATATACAAGCCACTTCTTGGCCTTAGCATTTTTCTCCCACTTTCTCAGGTCCTCAGCAGTACAATAGCCCTTGTTTTTGGCACATCAATTCCTTCAGCATTCTTCTTAGTGGTTGCTAGGGGACCATCAGTGACTATGTCCCAAAGTTCAAAATCTTCCCCTATAATGTGATCTCTCATTCTGTTCTTCCACCAAGAATAGTACTGACCATTAAATAGTGGAGGCCTGGCAGTGAATTGCCCTTCCCAGTTCCCAGGTGGTGCACTCATTGTTGATCTTCTCCTAAGGTGTTAGCCTCTTCAAGGATAACCTGCTCTGATACCAATTGATGTTCTACACGTCAATACCACACAAGAGGGGGGAGGTGATTGTGTGTACNAAACACCTACTACAATTGAACTAGAATAAAAGAAAGACACAATAGAATTGGTTCTTCTATCTTGTCCAAGTAGCTTCAGGAATGCACACTTGAATCTCACGTAAATTGCTTGCAAAAAGCCTTGCTATTTTGCTCTTCAATTTAGTCACTTCTGCGTTTGTGCAATCCCTGTAAAAGAGAACAATCATTATTATTTATAGAGTTAGTAATTAGGATTTGATTAAAACTCGAATTGCTGATCCTTCATCAAATTCGAGTCCTAGAACAATTCAAACTCCAATCCTTATTCTTGATCCGGATGTAGTTCTCTTCACATAAGGAGACTTCAACTCCTTATCCTATGCAACCTTTTCGATCAACTCAGAAGATATTGTTGCTGACCCTTGAGACTTATCTTCACACGTATGTCAGATGTATAAGTATATCAACACTGTGTCTGTCTTACATGATGGACCTGGTTCATGACTGAGTTCATTTTGTCAATCTTCAAAACTTCATCTGAACTTGGGCCAACAATAAGCAGGACAACCAAATATCCTTAAATTTGAATAATTAGCAGGCGAACCAGACCATACCTCAAAAGGAGTTTTGAACTCAATAGCTGTGGATGGACATCTATTGACCAAATAACAAGCTGTATTGATTGCTTCAGCCCAAAAATCTTTGCTAACACATGAGTGTGAAAGCATGCTTCGTGCCTTATCACAAAGCGTTCTATTCACACGTTCTGCAACACCATTTTGTTGTGGTGTTCCGACACAAGTGCAGTGTCTCACTATGCCCTCCCTGCTGCAGAAATTATCGAACTCAAAATTGCAAAATTCCAACTCATTGTCAGTTCGAAGACGCTTAACTTTTCTTTCCGTCTGCCTCTCAACCATCGTCTTCCATTTAACAAATGTTGAAAATGCCTCATCTTTTGTTTTTAGAAAATACACCCATACCATCCTTGAGTAATCATCAATCAAAGTCATAAAATATCTGGCACCACTCTTGGAGGGAACTCTGTTTGAACCCCACAAGTCAGAGCGTATATAATCTAACTTGTCTCTGGTCTTGTGCTCGGCCTTCTTGATGAACTTTACCCTTGTCTGTTTACCAAACACACAATGCTCACAAAAATTCAAAACTTGATTTATGTACCCATTCAGCAAATTCTGCTTACTCAACAAAGACAATCCATTATCACTCATATGGACAAGTCGCAAGTGCCACAACTGAGACTGATTCAGATCACTTTTCCCAGAAGCTACAACAGCTTCCCCTTCAACTACACTGGCCTGAAGATGATACAATTTAGAATGTAGTTTACCCTTCATGAGTACCATGGAGCCTTTACACACTTTAAGTATTCCATTCTCGTAGTGAAATTTATACCCTTGATCATCCAAAGTCGAAAGAGAAATCAAATTTCTCTTTTTTCGAGGAACATGCCAACACTCAATATTTCTGATAATTCCGTCGAACATTCTCAATTTGATGTTACCAACCCCCTATACTGGTAATGGATTATCATCTCCCATATAGACATCCCACTCATTTATTTGTAAGTTGCAAACCAATTCTTGTGTGGACATATGTGGAAAATAGCACCAGTATCAAGAACCCAAGAATTTTGCGCATGACTAGAACTCACAGCACAAACTTCTCCTACATAGTCACTATCATCAAAATTATTGCCAGTGTCAACAATATTTGCCGAATTATCTATTTTCTGCTTCCCTCTTTTCTCCTTCAGCTTAGGACAATCTCTCTTGTAGTGACCTTGCTCCCCACACTCATAACAGTGTTGCTTCCTTGCTCTAGACTTTGATCTTGCGGTTGACTTTTTCCTGTTAAAGTCCTTTTGTTGTGATCTTCCTCTAATCACAAGACCTTCGCCCTCAATTCTGCTGTCTGGAAAGCTCTTTTTCAACTCTTTAGATTTTAGTGCATTACTAACATCTTCTAGTGAAATGCTGTCTTTCCCATATAGCAGTGTATCGGCAAAAGTATCATAAGACTGTGGTAAAGAACATGACACAATCAAGGCCTGATCCTCACTCTCAATTTTGATATCTACATTCTTCAGGTCCATTATAATTGAATTAAACTCATCAGGGTGAGTTTTAACAGGTGTACCTTCGTTCATACGGAGATTGTATAACCTTTTTGTTGGGCTAAACTAGCCCAAATACACTCTTAATATGGTGTAATATTGTCCGCTTTGGGCCAAGCCCGCACGGTTTTTCCCAAAAGGCCTCACACCATTAAGAGATCCATACACCTTATATGTAGACTCCCAATCTTTTCAGCTACCAATGTGGGACTTTGTTTGCACACCCAACAATCTCCCCCTCGAACTAAGTTCCACGTGGCTTACTACCACAATCCACAAGTCAGTTTTCGAGATTACTGTGTGCCACCCACATTGTTAGAATATTATGGCAACCGAAGCCCGCAACTAGCTTCTTCTTGTGTGCGTGCCGCCCCGCACCATCACTCCGCCATCTCCATACTCGTCCCGCTGAACCTGGGCTTTGATACCATTTGTTGGACTAAACTAGCCCAAATACACTCTTAATATGGTGTAATATTGTCCGCTTTGGGCCAAGCCCGCACGGTTTTCCCCAAAAGGCCTCACAACATTAAGAGATCCCTACACCTTATATGTAGACTCCCAATCTTTTCAGCTACTAATGTGGAACTTTGTTCGCACACCCAACACTCTTTTTCAGGTAGAGGCGGTTTGTTAGCGATTTCTTAGAATACAGATCTTCCAGCTTCTTCCATGCCGTTGCTGCAGAAGTTTCTTCAGCAATTTCCCGAAGAACGCTATCTGTAATGCTCATGAAGATCGCACTCAAAGCCCTCTTCTTCAGGTCTTCCTTCTTTGTCTCTTTCATATCTTCAGGAAAATCCTCATCAATTGCTTTCCATAATCCTTGTAACACCATGGACGATTTCATCCTAATCTTCCATAGATTGAAACTAGAACCTCCGTCAAATTTCTCTACTTCGTACTTTGTTGAAGATGATGAAGACATCGTAACCCTAGATTATATGTAGAAACCCGAAACTTGCTCTGATACCAATTGTTGCGGAATATCGTGGGTTAACTAGCACACAATCACACACAAAGCAAATAGAGAAGAAAAATCAACACAAGGATTTAACGAGGTTCGGCTAAGCCTAATCCTCGGGGCAAAAGAAGAGAGAGTTTTCCACTATGAATGAGAAGAAAAGCACAATACAATCTATAGAATCCCCAACTACAACCCCTATATATAGATCCCAAAAGGTCCCAAACATATATGAGAAAGGTTTCCCAATTTGACAAGGACTATAGGTTTTCCTTTTCCAAATCTATTAGGACAATGGGTTTTCCTAAACCTATAGGGACTATGAATTTCCTAAAAATACAAGGAAATAATTCAAGCCACAAATAACACTTTCTTATAGTAGTCAATGGCCGGAACCGATAAACCTGACTCTGCAAACAATTTAGGTGAAAAGCATAGCCTAACAATTTGCCTGACAAGATCACCTGTTCCTTGCAAGCTAAAACCTTTCTCTGACTTTCTTGCATTATTTCATGATGCCTTCTTTCATTGTTCAATGAAATGGGGATTGAATTAGTTATTTCCTTGCACATAAAGGGCAGCCGGTGCACTAAGCTATCATTATGCGCGAGGTCCAGGGAAGGGTCGGACCATAAGGGTCTATTGTATGCAGCCTTACCCTGCATTCCTTGTACTTAAGCTCAATTTATTTTCATCATAGGAATAAACAGGAAAAAAATGAAACATAATCTTATTGCGGGACTAGCTAGGCGGTTGTCATCTTCATATCGTTATATGGTTTAGACTTCAACCAGCTCGGCTCAAAAGTTACAGTTGAAGGAAAAAGATTACATCGTCGAAAAGATATATAATGTAGATCCTTTTTATCTAAATTGGGAAATCAAATTATCTACTTTTGCAGCGGCGGACAGAATGTCAAAATATCAGGGTCTTTCTCTAATTCAGCCATGTCATTCTCCTTCAAACTAACCCATGCTTCTATTCCATCTCCATTTTTTGTGTCCATCAGACAAAATATTTCAAATGTTTTGCTGACGTTGCTTACCCAGAATGGCTTTCCCCAACCAAAGTCTGCTTCATACCAGGGGAGTCTGCACCAACTACTGCTGAGGTAAATGTCCATCTCGTCTTTCTGACCAAGTTTGTTTACAAATTCTGCGTCACAATTAACAAACATAGGGGCAATATCATTGATGCTTGCCTTGCCAATATCTACAGATATGCCCCTTGATGTATTTCCTATCATGTTAACAAAGTCGTTTAACTCTTTTGACTGGTTTGCCTCAAGAGTAGTATTTACAAGTACGATGAAATTCCCTAGAGCATATTCTAATGATGGTAAATTTAATTTCCCCCTCAAATTAATAGGAAATAATAAAGAAGAATCTCTTGAATGTCCATGTTTGGCTGATGATATGCCCACTAGAACCTTCCATATTAACGACATAACGACCGCCACTCGAGTAGGTCTCGTGAACGTGTTACTTGAACCGATTCTGTCTTTGAGTTTTGCAATTGCCAAAGCATCAAACACAAATCTCCTAGTGACAATCTCAGGGTCTCCACTAGAAGGTAGTGAATACTGATGTCCTGATAACACTTTTGTGGGAAAGAGCGATGGCAAGAAATCGAAACTTGAGAGACAACCTTTTGTTGTCCCTGTTTGGCTAATTTGAGCCCATTCCTTGACAAATGTTGCTAACGTGAAAGCATCTGCTAGTATGTGTAAAATTTGTACCCCCATGACTAGTCCTCCACAGTTGAATATGTTAACTTGAACTCCAAGTAATGGAATTGATTGCATATCTGTTTTTGGAAGAAGATCATCCAAAAGATCGATCTCGGGTCCTTCGTGGAGAAACTCAGCAAGATTCGTCTTGACTTTGGTTTCGACATAGTCAACACCTTCGTCGTTGCAGTGAATTGAGAGGTCATCTTTTCTGAATCTTCCAGCTAGAGGGTAAAACTTGGTTAAGGTTTCAGCCAATGATTTTTGCAGCTTATCGGTAATTCTTTCACTGCTCAATTCACTGCATGGTAAGTAGTGTAACAATATTGTTACATATACAGGAGGCGCGACCTGATCAAATAATGAAATATTATGGCTCCTAAGATGGTTAGGGGTAGGAGTCGAGGGCTTTAGCATTTTCCTTATCTGGATTTGAATATCTAATTTGGCCATTAGGATTGGCTTGACGACCAAAAATTCCCAACAACAAAAATATCTGGAAATGAGATGGAGCAAAGTTTGTAGAGTTGAGTTCCTTTTTGATGTTTTGTTTCTGAATTTCAAGATGTTCTTAAATACAATATTCCTTAGTCAACGGGTTCTCTAACAGATGCCTCAGCCTACGTGTTAACACGTTAGCCATTTGGTCAACTTGGTAGTAGTTGGCATTTGTTTATTGCCCTCGTTTCTCATCATCCATTAACATGTCATCAATCGGATGAAGAACTTAAATTATTTGATCGATTACCTGATTGCACTAGTGTCATTGTAGCGTCCCGCCATTCCTTCTTGTTAAAACAGGAATCTAACTCATTTTAAGGTAGAGTTCTTAGAGTCCTACTTAAAGTTAAAGGTAGTTCTTTAGTTAAAGCAAGAAGAACAGAAACTGAGGGAAAAAACCTATGTTCGTCTTCGTTTTTGCAAATGTACAATACGATCTTGATATAAGATAAAGGAACAAGTTTATCAAACGTGTATATATATCTTGACGTTTCAAAGGTGCTTTGACGTTGGATTTGATGGTTTTGTGAATTTTCTTGAAAAAATATGTATTTTTGGTCCCAGCATGGTGTATCAAACCTTGAGTAATCAAAGGATATTGAACTGGACGTATGATTTTCGTTTAATTAGAGATGATGACTTCAGCAGAAGATAAAATATGGCTACCACTTTGAATAATTAGTGTTGTCATTTATACCTTTCTGCTAGTTCAAGTGTCATCACCACCTTTGGATTGTACTTCACGAGAACTGCTTTTTATATATAAGTAGTGAATAGCTGTAACCCCAAAAATGGATCACAAAGTACCACCTTGGTTATTATTTAATCAGACTTTAGGTAGTTTCCCACCTCAGATAAACTTGAAAATTATTTCTAACTTTTTTAGTCAGTCAAGTTTTTTTAATCAAGTCAATCTAATTATTAAACTGATTAAGCATGGGGAACTATTTTTATTTCCGTTGTCGCCCCACCCAATTTATATTTCCTTACAATATATATATATATATATATATATATATATATAAAGGGTCCTAACGGTTAGGGCCTAAACCACCCACCCCTTTCTAAACAATTTAGTCAAAAGCTATGATGAATTAACAGCTTGTTTGGATGATTATTACCCATATCGTATTGTATTATTATCTCAAAATAATATTTGTTTTGATTGTTTATTTAAAATTGATTGTATCGTATTGTTAAACCATTATTACGGAACGACCAAAAGCCCCATTTTATGAAACAACCAATTTGGTGTGGTGGGATTGTTTCCTATTTTCTTTTCCAATTATGCTCTTACTTATTACTTCATAATTCTATTTTATCATTTAATTTTTATTTTATTGTAACTCCAAATCTTCAACCTATTGACCTACTTTGTCTTCTTCCGTCTTTTCTAGAGTTGGTTTGCCCCGTTCTTTAAATCCAAGTCTCAGTCCGATTTTTTTCTCTTTCCGTCGTTTTAATTTTTTATTTTTGTTGTTGCTAATATTAGTTAACCTTTTTTTTTCCAGGTTTTTGCTCTTGTATTCAAGCTACGTAATTAATAATAAATTAGTAAAAAGAGGTTTTCTTAAATTATTTTTATGTGTAATTCTTGATAAATTTTATTTAAAACAATTGGGGGTATTTTAGTGAACTTATCGGTTATAGTACAGTACGATACAGTTAAACCAAATAACAAAAATGTTATTTAACAACAACAAACGATACAATCTATTCAAATGTTGTATTCATAAAACGATACAATACAATATATTATAAAACAATGATCCAAACATAGTGTAAGTTTTAGTTTGCAGAATCCCATCATGTTTGGAATAACAGCGGAAACTAAAGCTCTTTTTCTTTTCCTTTCCTTTAGTGTTCCTATATCTGGGTATGGCAATCAATTGAAATCTTTTTTCTGGGTAAGTAACAATCAACTGAAATCTAGTGTACCATACAAGTTTAATAGGCGAAATCTGTTTGCTTCATTTTTTCACCTTACAACTGCAATGAAGAATAAAGATTCAATCTTCTTGATAGTCGATAGTAAACGGTGTTCATTTAACTTCTTTTTAAACGAAAATGAAGTTGAGAGGAATTAATTAATGTTCCTCTTGGATTTTGGCGAAGGTGGGTTGAGGAGAGTAACATAAGAAAATATTTCCTAAAGATATTTTATAATCTCTAACCAAACACTAAAAAATATTTTCCAGAATTTTTTTTTCACTCACATACCAAACTAGAGAAAATAAATGATAAAATCAATCATTTTCCTGAAAAACAATTTCTAAGAAACCATTTTCATTCGTACCAAACACACCTGGAGTGTAGAGCCACTTTAAGGAATAACAAATTTATGGAGGAAAAAGAAGACGCCTCGTATAGGGTCTCTTCTTTTGAACATGTTCTTTACAGTTAAAAATTTAAATCTAGAGCCACTTCCAGGGATAACGAATTTATAGAGGAAAAAAAAAAGACTATTCGTGGAAAGGTGTCTTCTTCTGAATAGGTTATTTACAATTAAAAATTAAATCTGAAATTTAAATTTTAAATAAAACAAATTGTCATAGAAAAAGACTAAAAACTACTACTAGTACTTCTTTAACTGACAAACAGACCGAGTCATATAAGGATACTTGATGGGTCTACTTATCTAAATGTAATTGGTGGGCTTTTTAATTTATGGACGTGTTTGGTACGAAGAAAAATATTTTCTATGGAGAATGCTTTCATGGAAAATGAGTGATTTTATCATTTATTTTTTCTTGTTTGGTTGGTGAGAGAAAACTTTATCCGGAAAATATTTTCTAGTGTTTGGTTAAAGAGTAAAAAATATTTTTTAGGAAAATAAATTTTTATGCTACTCTCCTCACCCCCTTCCCCAAATCCCATGTTTCTTGTGCTCTCTCTCCCTCCTCCCCTTCCCCACCCCGATACCTAACGTTTTTAGTAGGGATGGGCGTTCGGTATTTAAGAATTATGATTCGATACTTCGGTATTCGATTTATCAATTGTATATACCAAATACCATACCAAAGTAATTCGATACGGTTCGATATTTCTTGTTTGGTTCGATACGGTTTCGATTTATTAATTTGCATAACAAATTTGCATGATAAATTTCTATAAGATAATAAGAAATGTAACAACAATCATGCATTAAAGAGTGATGTACAACTTTAGTAAAGTATTTCTTATAGCTGCCTTATTTGCATATAAGGCGGAGGCAACCAACATTATTAAAAATTTTGATGAGAAGTATTTGATCATTACACCCATTGAACAGTAAATATAAAATAGACCAAATTTTAATAGAGCAAATATATGAAACGAAAGGGTAAAAATAGTTAGATGGAAAAGCACGATAACTTCTTAGGTAAGAACATATTTCCCATTGCTTAAGTTTTTTTTGTTTTTTTTTTTGATTTCAACTCTGGCTTATCCAGTTTTCCTTCTTTGAGAAACAAATATTTTATTAATAGAATCCAGAGGCACTTTCCTGCCATAGAATGCGTAAAGATGCAAACAATAAAGTCTAATAGTGGAACGTAATTTCTGCACTTCTGTTGTAAGCTCAAAATTGTACTCACAATGGTCATGAACTCTGGCTAATGTCGATTTTTCATGACAAGTGCTGGAATCCTACAAAGTGCATGCCTTTTCAGAACTATGGCTTGTTCAACCAAATCAGATTTCCCTTGCCGATAACATGCAAATTAAGCTTATAGCCTGTTTGGCCAAATTTTTTTTTTTTTGGTCCAAAAGTATTTTTTTTTGCCAAAAGCAGTTTTGGCCAAAAATTGAGGTGTTTGGCAAAGCTTTTGAAAAGAAAAAAAAAGTGCTTTTGAGGAGAAGCAGAAGCCGTTTTTGAGAAGCAGAAAAAAGTAGCTTCTCTCCTAAAGCACTTTTCTGAGAAGACTTTTGAGAAAAATACACTTAGAAGCAGTTTTCAAAAGCTTGGCCAAACACTAATTACTGCTCAAAAGTGCTTTTCAAATTAATTAACCAAACACAAACTGCTTCTCACCAAAAGCATTTTTTAAAAAGTACTTTTGAGAAAAGCACATCTCAAAATAAGCCGATTTTAGAAGCTTGGCCAAACAGGCTATTAATAGCATATTACTCTAGCACTAAGTAAACGGATGACACAGAAACAAGAGAATTGGGATCCGCACATAAGACGATTCCTCTTTCTACACTCAATTACGTAAGAGTCCAGCTAGCTCGTCTCTGTCTGGTAGTTTAAGCCTTGGCTCACCAACTTCTTTTCAATCCATAAGTTGCATGATAAGAAAGCTCTCGATCACCGAGACAGCATCAAAATTCTCCATTTTAATAGAGTCAGCATGATCTGGGTGACCAGAGTGATCAACAGCTTGATCTAAGAGTCAAAATACGCCGTGGAGAAGAGCTTACTTATGAGCAAAAGGGTAGGACGAAGTCGCAGGAGATTCGGTAGAGAAGATAGAGCCGGTAAAGATGACCAACAGAAGCCTATAAATATTGGCACATATCTTAAGTTTGGGGCATCTGGTCAGTACCATTGATTAACTAAAATTAGACTACACACTATATTTAACATATGCTATATAACATTTAGTAAAAAAATTTGGTATTTCGGTTAAACCGATATCGTCACGACCCGAAATTCTCACCATCGGGACCGTGATGGTGCCTAACATTTCACTTGCTATGTAAGCCAACGTTAGATGTAATTATTAACCAATTGTAACAAGTTTCAAATGCGACGTAAATAAAGTATAACTGAATAGTCTGAAACAAGGTAAATAAACTAATAAGTGACGAAATCTCAATACAAATCTCGAAACTGGTGTCGCGAATACATGAGCGTCTAAGATACTACAAATAATGGTCTGAAGTAAACATAACGGTCTGAATCAGATGAACAACTACAGGTAGTAGAAGGGGACTTCAGAGCTGCGGACGTCGTACAACCATCAAAAGACAACAAACGATACAATCTATTCAAATGTTGTATCCATAAAACGATACAATATAGTACAATACAATACATTATAAGACGATGGGAAACAATGATCCAAACATAGTGTAAGTTTTGGTTTGCAGAATCCCATCATGTTTGGAATAACAGCGAAAATTAAAGCTCTTTTTCTTTTCCTTTCATTTAGTGTTCCTATATCTGGGTATGGCAATCAATTGAAATCTTTTTTCTGGGTAAGTAACAATCAACTGAAATCTAGTGTACCATACAAGTTTACTAGGCGAAACCTGTTTGCTTCATTTTTTCACCTTAGAACTGCAATGAAGAATAAAGA